TAATTGTTTAAACACAATCTGTACATCAAAATAATTTCAATATTAATTGTTAAAATAAAATTTAAACATTTAACCATTAGTATGTTTAATTTCAACAAATAAATTTTTATTTGTTTAAATAAAAATAGTCTATACCAGTCAATTTTTATCAATATTAGTATGTTTAAATATCTTTAAACAAAATTTAACAATTAGTATATTTATGTTTACTAAAAATATTAAAATATTAAAGATATGTTTACTATTGCTATTACTTAGTAAACAATTGAAAAGGGTAAAATAGTCTTTTGTTCATTTATCCTATCCAGTCCATCCAACCAAACGTTGGATTCACTGAAAATATTTGATTGGACGGACTGGAAAAGGGGGGATTAGAATCCATCGACTTGAGTCCTGGGCTGTGAATCCCCCGGACTATTTGTTCGGATTGGATATGTATCCTGTGTTTGTTTTTTCATGAGATTAGATGTCTGGATAGGACTATTTTCAGTGAATCCAACGTTTGGTTTGACGGACTGGATAGGATAAATGAAACAAAAGACTATTTTGCCTCCTTTTCAATCGTTTACTAAGTAATAGTAATATTAAACATATCTTTAATATTTAATTATTTTTAATTAAATAAATTTGTTTTTTTAAATTAATAAATAAATAAATAAAATATCAATAAAATTTGTTTTAAATCATTACTGTATAACAAATCATTATTTTTTTTTACATACAAAACTTTACTGTGTTTGTTTATTTACACATTAAATAATTTACTGTGTTTGTTTATTTACACAATTAAATAAATTTATTTTTTACACAATTAAATAAATAAATAACTACTAAATTTGTTTATATTATTTTTATTAAAATTTTAAATAAAACACCTATTACAATTTAAATAATGAAATTAAATAAATTATAAAAAAAATTTTAAAATAAAACATCAATAAAATATCTATAAAAAAATTATTTTAAAAAATTAAATAAATAAAACATCAATAAAAAGTTAAATAAAAATTATTTTATTTTTAAATTGAGACATTTAAATTTTATTGAGTTTTATTAAATATAATACATAATTAAATAGTAGAGGGTCAAAATGGTCATTTTCGCATCTAATCCCAACAGTGGATAGTCCCCCACTTTTCTGTCCCACCCCCCCCCAGGACACAATAGTCCCCCATATGGGGGACATGGAGTCCGGCGGACTAAAAAAAATAAACGGCGGATAAGGAGCATTATTTGGATTACAATCCAAATAGTGGATAGTCCCCCCCCATGTCCCCCAATCAAACAAGGCCTAATTGTGTAGTGTAAATGGCATGCAAAAATTAGAAAAGAGCCAGAGAAATTTGTGCAGTGAAAGAATTACTCACTCGACTTTATTTCCATGATTGCTTTGTCAATGTTAATAATACCCTTTCTTCCTGTTCTATGCATTGTCTTTGTGTTTTGCAAACACCTTTTTTTATGGTCATAAGAAGCTCAAATTTATGTAACATATATGTCAATTCATGTATGACTAACTAACTGTCTTTGCATGCAGGGCTACGATGGGTCCATTTTGCTAGACAATGCAGATGGATAGAGAGTGGTGGGATTGTTTTTGAGAGGGACTAATCACTGTTTGGATTAGATTGCGAAAAATGACAATTTTGACCCTCTACTATTTAATTATGTATTATATTTAATAAAATTTAATAAAATTTAATGTCTTCAATTTAAAAATAAATAATTTTATTAACTTTATATTAATGCTTATTTATTTAATTTTTAAAAATAATTTTTATAGATATTTTATTGATGTTATTATTTAAAATTTTGTTTTATGTTTATTTAATTTCATTATTTTAATAAGATGTTTTATTTAAAACAATTAGAATGTTTAATTTCAACAATAAATAATTTCATTTATTAAATTATGTTTTATTTAAACATTTAAATTTGTTACATCAACATGTTTATTAAATTATTTCAACATCTGTACATCAACATGTATATTTATTTAACATCTATTAAATTATGTTTTATTAATACGTTAAACATTGATTACATCTACATTTTTTAATTGTTAATTATATCAACATTTGTTAATTGTTAAACATAATCTTGTACATCAACATTTATTTAATTGTAATTGTTAATTGTTTTAACACCAATCTGTACATTCAAAATAATTTCAATATTAATTGTTTAAATAAAAATTTAAACATAACCATTAGTATGTTAATTTCAACAATAAATTTTTATTTGTTTAAATAAAATAGTCTATATCCAGTCAATTTTTTATCAATATTAGTATGTTTAATATCTTTAAACAAAATTACAATTAGTTATAATTAATGTTTACTAAAATAATTAAAATATAAAGATATGTTTACTATTTGCTATTACTTAGTAAACAATTGAAAAAGGGTAAATAGTTTTTGTTCAATTTATCTATCCAGTCCATTCAACCAAACGTTGATTCACTGAAAATATTTGATTGGACGGGACTGAAAAGGGGGGATTAAGAATCATCGGACTTGAGTCCTGGGA